TATATATATATATATCTGTTTCTCCACAACACTATGAGTCAAAGTTCTCAAAAAAACTAAAAATGTATGAACATTCCCTTTATTTATGTCTCATTAAAGACATTCTAGCCCTATCTTTTATCTGCCACCCTTATATTAAATAATAGACTAATTAAATGACCCCTTTAATTAATGTAAGGGCAACATATAGTGCATATTTTTAGTTTATGTACATCCAAATAAATCTTTATATTAACAGTAAATTCAGGTATAAAATGATGACATTGTGTTCACTTGTGGTTGTGAAATGGTACGGCTCAGCCCATTCAGCTGCAGCTGTGAGTAGTGACTCAGTAGTTCCAGATCTTGCTACTTGGTTTGAAACCCGAAGGTGAAGCATGTACGCGGCACCCACACTCCTCCTGCTCACTCTGATGGATTCAGTTTCAAACATGTCTTTCTTTTTATAACTCTACTTGGAATGGCTGCAGAGATCTGGTAGTGGACATTAGTAAATTGATGCATATTGTGGAAAAAAAATGAACCTCTTGATTATAACCCCCTCCGCTTCACCCCCATCAGGTGAACTTCACTGTGGATCAGATTCGTGCCATCATGGACAAGAAGGCCAACATCAGGAACATGTCTGTGATTGCCCATGTGGATCATGGGAAGTCCACGCTGACTGATTCTCTAGTGTCCAAAGCGGGGATCATTGCTTCGTCTCGTGCTGGGGAGACCCGCTTCACAGACACACGCAAAGACGAGCAGGAGCGCTGCATTACCATCAAATCAACGTATGTGGATCACAGGGTTTAAAAAAAAGCCCCCCCTGTCTTTGTGCAACCTGATAAAAGTCCTGAAAACTTAGTTGGAAGTCTTAAGTATTTCTCTATCATAGTATTCAACATTGAAAAGTTAAATGTGGGGAAAAACATACTTGATATTATTTTAAAGATGTATTTTTTTAGATTAAAATTTGGCTGACTTCCTTCATCAAGACTGTGGGTGTGGTTTGATCAGACTGATTCAGATGGATCATTTTTTGCCTTATAGTCAATTTTGCTTTGACTGTGTTGTTTAGCTTCTCTGCTAATTTGAAACATGCCACGGTGCATGCTGGATTGATTCATGATCATAATATCTGTGTTGTAGTCAGGTTGTTAGAAGTATACATAGTACAATCTCAACATTAAGTAAAACATGTTTGTCCCAGGAAGTTTTTTACATTTACATTACATTACCCTCATGTAAGTTAGAAGAACACTGACAGAGTTCAGTATTACAGCGACTCACTTTAGAAATGTTAACCTAATTTTTACGAGGAAGTGGTCATGATGGGTGAACAGTGAGCGTCTCCCTGGCCTTGTTACCGTTTCCTCTCTGTTCCTCAGGGCCATTTCCCTGTACTATGAGCTTGGAGACAACGACTTGCTGTTTATCAAGCAGTGTAAAGATGGAAACGGCTTCCTCATCAACCTGATTGATTCTCCGGGTCATGTCGACTTCTCCTCTGAGGTCACTGCTGCTCTCAGGGTAACTGATGGAGCCCTTGTGGTGGTAGACTGCGTCTCAGGTAATCTCGTAGCATTTCACACCCTTGCCTTTACCCACACACGGACCTTTCACCCAGCTTCGCTTGTTTGTTTCCTTTGACAGGTGTGTGTGTACAGACTGAGACTGTACTGCGGCAGGCCATTGCTGAGCGCATCAAGCCTGTTCTGATGATGAACAAGATGGACCGGGCCCTGCTTGAGCTGCAGCTGAAGCCCGAGGAGCTCTTCCGGACCTTCCAACGTATTGTGGAGAATGTTAATGTCATTATCTCCACCTATGGAGAGGATGAGGGGGGACCCATGGGGAACATCATGGTACGCAAACACACATTCATTCACTAAAACAGCTTTAAATTATTACCGCACACTTTAAATGTGACTACAAAAAATACTGGACCTTTTGTACTCAGGTTGACCCCATGATCGGTACAGTCGGGTTCGGCTCAGGTCTCCATGGCTGGGCCTTCACCCTGAAGCAGTTTGCTGAGATGTATGTGGCCAAGTTCAGTGCTAAAGGAGAAGCTCAGCTGGGACCAGCAGATAGGTGTAAGAAAGTGGAGGACATGATGAAGAAACTGTGGGGAGACAGGTAAACGTGAGCGCACAGCCACAGAGTAACATACTGTTGGCTGTTTCTCTGTCCTCTCTGGTTTCACATGTGTTGCGTCAGCAACGCTGGGTGTGGTCAGAAATGTACTGTGCTGCACCTAACAACGCCTAACGGCGACGTCAACATGTACACACACAGCCCTGGTGTACACCTCTACAGTATGTCACTGCAGCCAGAATTAAAATCACCGGAGAGCAGCAATAACCAGATTTTTCAGCATTAGGTGTTAAGCTCCTCTTTGCACCTGTTAGGAAATGATCATAATATTTATCAGGCACATACTGTACAATTCATAAAACAAGGCAATATGCCAACCTGACATTTGACTTTCATAATAATGTTCTGTGATTATTATATGCTTCTTTCAGATATTTTGATCCAAGTGCTGGAAAATTCAGTAAAACAGCCACCGGCCCTGATGGTCAGAAATTTCCTCGCACTTTTTGTCAGCTTGTTTTGGATCCCATCTTTAAGGTAAATTTACATATTTCTATATTGTTAAAAATACAGTTCCTTTCCCTAAAAGCACACTGTGTAGGACAGCAGTTGGATACAACATGGGATATGGTTAATGGGCTAAAAGCAACACAAAGTCTGCACCGGTGCTCTCACTATGGTTTCATTTCTCTGCAAACAAATCACATCATTGTAATAATTTGAAAGATCACATAAATAAACATTGTGCTTACATGCCATGTCTTCTTTTCACCCCCTCTCACTATCCTCTTAGGTGTTTGATGCCATCATGAATTTCAAAAAGGACGAGACAGCCAAACTAATTGAGAAGCTGGACATCAAACTGGACTCGGAGGACAAGGAGAAGGAGGGGAAGCCCCTCCTGAAGGCCGTGATGCGTCGCTGGCTGCCTGCCGGAGAGGCCCTGCTCCAGATGATCACCATCCACCTGCCCTCCCCGGTCACTGCGCAGAGATACCGCTGTGAGCTGCTCTATGAAGGGCCTGGAGATGACGAGGCTGCCATGGGTCAGTAGAACATTTTCACAGCACCACACACCTTCCCCCTGTCGAAGAGGACATCACTAAACAACAAGCATTTTTACTATAACTATGTGGCTTCACAAAATATGTTTCATTTTGGCATTATTATACCCAGAGCTTACTGTTTATACTCTCTTCTCAGGTATTAAAAACTGCGACTCCAAGGCTCCTCTGATGATGTACATTTCCAAAATGGTCCCAACCACTGACAAGGGTCGTTTCTACGCCTTTGGCCGTGTGTTTTCTGGATGTGTGTCAACAGGCTTGAAGGTACGAATCATGGGGCCAAACTTCACCCCTGGCAAGAAAGAGGACCTCTACATCAAACCCATCCAGAGGTGAGCATGTGTATGTACAAACTACTGGGAAAGACAAAGAACTCCAACTTTATATTTCTCTTTGCAGCCTTTTGTTTTCCTGTATATTTCTGTACAACCTTTTCTCTTCTGTTTTACCCAGGACCATTCTGATGATGGGCCGGTATGTGGAGCCTATTGAAGATGTCCCATGTGGCAACATTGTGGGTCTTGTTGGAGTAGACCAGTTCCTGATTAAGACAGGGACCATTACCACCTTTGAACAAGTAGCGTATTGCTTTTATTTTACCTTTTATTTCCTTTTACTTTTACTGTAGTTCACATACCAGTGCAACAAATAGTGGATGATTAGTTATTTGCTTTTGGTTCTTCCTTCCTGTTACAACAACATCTTTTAGCTCAGTGTCTGTGTCCACAGGCCCACAACATGAGGGTAATGAAGTTCAGCGTGAGCCCTGTGGTCAGAGTTGCTGTGGAGGCTAAGAACCCCGCTGACCTACCCAAACTGGTAGAGGGTCTGAAGCGCCTGGCCAAATCTGACCCCATGGTGCAGTGTATTATCGAGGAGTCCGGGGAGCACATCGTCGCTGGAGCTGGAGAGCTGCACCTGGAAATCTGCCTGAAAGACCTGGAAGAGGACCACGCCTGCATCCCACTGAAAGTGAGGCAGCGATAACGAACGAACAGAGATTTTTCTTGAAGACGCTGGCGTTGTCCCAGGACATGTCACTGTTGTAAAGCTAAACTGAAAATGAATTTAAAATGATGATTTATTTACAGGACTCAACTTTTATTTTCCTCTGATTATTTTAAACTGGAGGAATATAAAGTTTTGTGAAGTGCGTTCCCATCTGAACACAGTTAATAATCATGTCAGTAAAGGTAGGAGACTAAGACCAAAGACCTGAAAGATTACCTGAGGCTCGCTGGTAGGACTTCTTCCATTACCATCCACATTTTCATGTCTGATTTCCTTTTCCTTCATGTCTTTCCAGAAATCAGACCCGGTCGTGTCTTACAGAGAGACGGTGACAGAAGTGTCAGAGCAGATGTGTCTGTCCAAATCCCCCAACAAGCACAATCGTCTGTTCATGAAGTCCCGTCCGTTCCCAGATGGCCTGGCTGAAGATATCGAGAAGGGGGAGGTCAGTGCTCGGCAGGAACTCAAAGCTCGTGCACGTTACCTCGCCGACAAGTATGAGTGGGAGGTGACAGAAGCCAGGAAGATCTGGTGCTTTGGTCCAGATGGGACTGGGCCCAACCTGCTGATAGACATGACGAAGGGAGTTCAGTACCTCAACGAGATCAAGGACAGTGTGGTGGCTGGTTTCCAGTGGGCAACTAAAGAGGTAGGCGGAAGTTAATTTTGAATCTGCTTACCTAATTAATTAGTAGCCCAGCATGTTCTAATAGATTGGTGATATCATGTAACTACTTAAACTCTTGCACTCTCATACTCCTGAGAATAATGTCGCAGCATCTGTCTTCCACCTGCAGGGTGCTCTGTGTGAGGAGAACATGCGTGCGATTCGCTTTGACATCCATGATGTGACTCTGCACGCGGACGCCATTCACCGCGGCGGAGGACAGATTATTCCCACAGCTCGCAGGGTCTTGTACGCCTGCCAGCTCACTGCTCAGCCACGTCTCATGGAGCCTATTTACCTGGTGGAGATACAGGTATGTCTGGAGGCATATTCCCTCTGATATTGCACAAAATAAATGTCTGTCACTCATTGTGCAGTTGTAATCATTAGGTTATTAACTTTCATATCTGCATACTGAAGGCCTCACTTTATAGGGTTTCAAAAGTATTGTGGAAATATTCTGACAAATAGAAAACCATGGCTTAAAAGGTGCTTTATCTTATAGTTCCCATAAAATAATTGAAAATGTCTGGATTTCCAAGTCAGTGTTCTCATTCAAGTTCACACTGCTGCTTCCTTTTGTCTCTGCAGTGTCCAGAGCAGGCAGTCGGTGGTATCTATGGTGTGCTGAACAAGAAACGAGGTCACGTGTTTGAGGAATCCCAGGTGATGGGCACTCCCATGTTTGTGGTGAAAGCCTACCTGCCTGTCAACGAGTCCTTTGGTAAGTGTGTGTTTTAGACTGTGCTACGCAGTGTCTCTTGTGGTGGGATATAACTCCTACTCCAGTAGGTGCTTGAGAAATATTGTATGAATCTACTAGAGGCTTCATGATTCAAAATGCCTTTTGTGAAGGACAGACTACTGGGTCTTTGAAATGTCTGCATGTGAAGATCCATACCAATGTTTTCAATTTACACTTGGATAATGATGTGAGGAGAGTCATGGCTCTCCTGTAACGCAGTTGCATTTTAATGTGATTACTGAATCATTTTCATAAAAAACTCAGATCCATTTTTTTGATGTTTTAGTGAAAGGATATTTACAACAACCCAAACGTTATAAAGATGTTATGCAATTCCAACGGCATTCATGCTAGAAAAGAGCCACGTTATGGGCTGACAAGGATGCTCAGCAACTTGAAAGAGTACCACTGTCTGTATTTATTCCCTTCAGGGTTCACAGCTGACCTGCGCAGTAACACTGGAGGCCAGGCCTTTCCCCAGTGTGTGTTTGACCACTGGCAGATTCTCCAGGGAGACCCCAGCGACCCTGCCACCAGACCCTTTCAAGTTGTCGCTGAAATTAGGAAACGCAAAGGTCTGAAAGAGGGTATTCCCGCCCTTGACAACTACTTGGACAAATTGTAATCACTAAGCCTGGATTATTAAATACCAAATCAGTCTTTAAACCCTACCCCGTGGGCACTTTGCACAGGCTTAAAGATACATCGCACAAATTGTTTTGACTTTGAGTCTGGAGTAGAAACAAAACTTCGGTTTTAGGCTAGTGAAAGCCATGATGCTTTTTTTTCATTTCACAGCTACAGTACACCAAGTGCCTAGGGTGAGGGTTTTTGGGAACAATTTGATCAAAGCAGTTGTATTATCAGTTCCTTGTTTTTTTCTTTTCCTCCAAATCACCATCCTCCTTTCACCTCAAACTTGTTGGGATGGGCCTGTACAGTGCACTGTGATACTGCTGCAATAATGCATTTTTAAATGGATGGTGGCCAGATCAAACCAGTGTTACAAAAGTCAGGTTCCCTGGATTGGACCTTTGTTCAGTGGATGTAATGAATAAAAACATTAAACTCATGATGAAATTGCAGCTCATAAAATTCTGTTATTGTTCTAGTCAGCCGCTGCAGGTTGAAGAAACTGTTTGACATTTTGGGAACAATCCATTTCTGGCCGTGAGGTGAACAAGATCAAGACCAGAGTTCATGGATGGTCACTTATTCGACAAAATAATAGTTGGTTCTAGCCTTATGGTGCTTCTAAGATGGAATAATACTACCTTACCTGGGTTTTTTTTGTGTTAACTACTTTGAAAAAAAAAAAGAAACTTGATCAAACAACAAATGTGCTCATTGTACATAAAAACAATCTTAAAAGTAGATGTTGACACATAGTCCCTCTACAAAACAGGGGGGCCACAAGATGGAGGATGAGGGACCCCTCAGAGTTAATGTACTTTAGCAGTTCAAATGTCCAACATGTAGATTTGATTATGTAGAAAAACATGACAGTGTAGGCCAGGGGGTTTGGGGGCCCCTGTGCATTCGCCCCAGCCTCGGTGCTCTGACATCTACTCATCCATAAAGTAGATATAGTTAACCTTAGACCGTAGATTGATTATTTAATGGGCCCTAACAGACACGAAAGGTCTCCTCTAATACAAACTCTCAATAAGAAAGCAAACAAGTGTTTTCTCAACATGTGGAAATCTTGTGTTAGGTGTAGGCATTACTACCATGGTAAATTCTATTTAAAAAAACCCAAAAACAATGCTTTTCCTCACTCTTTAATCAGTAATTACTTCAAATTACATATATAATATTAATAAATGCCACTTTAATATACAACCCCCTTCACCTCTGCACCACACTTCTTAAAAAAACAACAACAAAAAAAAGAAACATCTGAAGAATTGGTGTGCATCCATTGGACATATGCAAGGCCGAGCAGTGCAAGGTATCTTGGGTATAGGGAACTATCAAGCAAGGAAGGACACAAGATATCACAAATTCTACAGTATGTAGAAACCAAAAATTGCTTACCATAATCATATTCTTAAGATTACTATGAAGCCTAGTTATAATTCATAAATCCTATGAGTTTATGAAAGTGATGAGAGAAATGCTGGTCTGTACTAAACAATGAGGATCCTTTCTTAGCAAATCTGATACACTGTACATTCATACATTTGCGACTCTCCTTTGTACTAATGCTGTAAAGTACAAAAAGGGAATCGTACAGCTTCAGTAGAATTCAGAATCAAGCCTTAGGCCATCAGTCCACAGCAGTGACATGGATACTGTGAATAATCTAAGAGGCTCCTCTCTCCCTCTCTCCTGCCCTTGTGGAGTTTGTTACAGTCATGTCTGTTTGATAGGCGGTCATCACTACAACACAGAAGGATAAAAGGAAGCTTCTCAGAAAGAGAGAGAAGGCATCTCAAACGACAAGCTACGCACCACGTAATGACTTACATCGCCTCACGGCTATTTGTCTTCCAATGTGGCCAATAGTAGTGCACTATATGAAGGGAACAGTATGATGTCGGACAGATCAGTCCCCAGTAGGGCTGCTGAGGGGAGGCCCTGCGCTGGTGTCAGGCTGTCACATTTGATGGTAGATTGTTGGCGTTGTTGGAGGTGACTATGTGTAGAAGATGACCTCTGGAATCTGTCCATCCTCTACTGAAGTGCCATTGTTGTTGCCTGCTGCGTAGCAGAAGGTGAAACAGGTCTTTGTGCCGGTGGATGACGACTCGTGCGTTACCTTTCGCATTCCCTTAGTCCCGTAATGAGAGTCTGGACCCTGCAGGACATACAGAGAAGAGGTAAAATACACACTGTATAGAGGCAGTGGGGGGGCAATTTGTTGCAACATGGCATTTCTACTTATACCCCAGTGTACTGCCAAACCTTGTAATACAGTACAATAAGTTTAATGTTTTGTTTAATACTTTGTTTCATGTATCTGTTATTTCCAACACTTTACAGACCTTAAGTGTAGCACAGGCAGTATAGTTGACATTCGGTAGTATCTCCACTGGTTCTTTGAACATGACTCTGAAGGTGTTCGCTGATCCATCACAGCTGAAGCCTGTATCATTCTGGCCCAACACCGTGTTACTGTCTGTGTGAATTATCTGTGCAAAGAGCAGGGAGACACAAATGTCCAAAATGTGTTATATACAGAATGCTGACAGTTGGTTGGGGTCCATACCTGTATGTTGACTTGGTAGTCTGTGGGTCCGTGTATAGAGCCATACAGGCCGAACCCTACCACAAATATCCTTCTGTTTACGGAGAACCTGAGAGGAAAAATAGAGCAGGAACATATCAAGAAGGATTCTGACAGCAACTGGAATGCGGACCTGCACAGTAAGTCTGAAAGACAGGCCTTTCAAAACGAAGCTAAAATTACAGTTATGTGTCTCTACACCACTCAGTGATGATGCAAACTGATGATGGCAAATAGGTGACTGACATGTCAATTTTCAGAGTAAACTACTGAGTATCTATTTTATAGGGAGCAGTGAAGGAGTGATGGAGCTTAATGTGACAGAGCTGAGGTTTATGAAAGTTTTAGTACCAACTGGCTTTTGAAAATACTTATATATATGTGGTTTACATTGACACCAATTTCACAAATAATGCATATTTATTTAGGTATGCAGGAAGTTGGAAAATGTGTAAATGCACATTTTCTCATTCCCAGATTAAAAAGTGAAAGTAGACAAATGTTTAGTCACTATAGTGAAATTATCTCCGTACACTAAAATCCTAAGCCATTATTATCCATAAATAAGACTAAATATCTTATCTCATGAGATCTACTGTAAGTCTGTTTTGATGAAGAAAAAAAAAAAAAAAAAAAAAAGATACTCTGCTCTTCACTCACCGTATGCGGTCGCTTGTCCCGCTGTAGCCCCAGCGGCTCTCCACCTGTCCAAAACGTGTGATGCTGCACTCCTTCCCGCGGAGGCAGCAGCGGGGCCGGTCGATAAAATCAACACGAGGCTTTGGGTTTACTGTGAAGTGGAGGAAGAGACTTACCACCTCTCGGTCAGTAAGGATACTGGACTGGGCTGGACCTGAAAGGACATGACCAAAAAGACAAGGATCAGAGTGTGAAGCACAAAATCTGTGTCTGTATTGTGGAAGAGAGAAGAATGGACAAACAGTGAGGGAAGGGCAAACATAAAAGTAAAGAAATAGTGTCAGTTTTTCTGTGTTCACCTGCAGCAAACTCTTCAATGGTCATGAGAGGGAAGCGGATGAGAGTGAGAGCTTTTCCCAGGACTTTGCGTTTGTTTTCGGGTGTGGGCTGCAGCTGCTGCCTGTGTGCCTCAGCCTCAGCCCAGCGCACCGCAGCTCCAAACAAACGCACTTCCCTCACCCCGAGAGTATCCCTCTCCAACACTGCCACCAAAGTATCTAAAGGAGGGAGAGATAAAGATCAGTGGCCAGCTAGACGGCCATTCTGAAATACTACAGATCGTTAGCCTTCAAATAAATGACTACATCTGCGGGGACCTGGGACATATTACCCAAGTCTATGTCTGTAAAGCCTTCAGCAGCAAGAGCATCTCCAGTGTTCTTATCAATGTTTTCTAGGCAAAGGCTGGCAAGCTGAGGCTCATCAAACAACCGTGCCTGGAAAAAAAAAGAATCCAAGACAGTTTAAGAAATGCTTTTGCAAGTATGTAACTGCGCTAGTTACACATTCCCAAAAATGACAACTGCACTTCAAAGAGTCACAATTCAAGAGTTGAGAAGATTGTGTAAAACCTTCTGGGGGTTTCAAGTCACATCTGAGGTGCAGTCATGTGAATGTAACAAAGCTGACGGAAACTGACCTGTGTAAGCAACATGAAAGCATTGTCTGCCCTCAGGTTCTTCTTGAGGAACTCCACACAGTGAGCCTCCAGGGCTGGCACTGCGTATTTCTTAGCTGTATATAGTGTGGTCATCACTGTCTCTGGTCCAATCTGGACTTCATCAGAGTAGAGAAATCTGCAGGGGATCCACAAATGATATGATGCAATGTAATTTTATTATAGTACACAGTTTAGAGGATGAGATGCTTGTTTTTACCATAATCACTTGATGAATGCATTAACATGCATGTTACATTACTTGAGCTGTACTTTAGCATGTTCCTCTGCGCTCACATGATGCGTGGAGTAAAAATAATACAGCCACTTCCAACACATGCAAACCACAAACTTAAATGACACACTTCCTGCGTCTGTCAGGCTTTGCTCCTTACTTTAGCAAGGCCAGAAAAGCAGCTGGTTCCACATCAGGAAGCTCGATTTCCGTGGAAGTTGTCGCCATTCCACCGTTGAACATCGCATCAAACACTGCACTGCCCACAGCCAGAACAAACCTGACAATGACAACAGTCAGCAACAACGGAGAACAAGGCAGATGTTTGACTTTTCGCTCTGCAGATATAGAACTCAGCTAGCTAATACTTTAAGTGATCGTGCTGTCGTTAATCCTTTTACCTGTGTGCAGGTATCCGCTGAATCCCCATTCCTTTGCCCACTAAAAAATGAACGTCACTGAGCACCTCGTTGTTGAAAAGGAAAGCAAATCTCTCCTTCACGGTGCTCTTCGTCGCCTGCCAGTTGTACACGGGCTCTCGGTACACCAGAACAGACGCAGCTGCCGGAGTGGCCGTCGGTGCCGCCGAGGAAGCGTTCGATGCTGCGGTGGTTGTCATATTGGACGCCGGGGTCGCCATAGCTCCGACTGCCGCAGCGGGCTGCTGCAGGGAATTCTGCGCAGTCGGCGGAGGTCCGGTCGAAACACCGTTGCCGTCTCCTCCGCCAGGCCCCAGTTGCGGGTTAGGACGCCGCGCTGTTCCCTGCGCTCCCCCGGCCGGACCAACTCCTCCTCCGTTAGATGCTGGCATAGAGAATACGCTGTTGCTGGGCTGGCTGTTTCCCAGTGGACCAGGACCGGAGAAGTTAAGGCAAGGAGGCCTGCCGCTGTTATCTCCAGCAGCCATCTTCCACCTAGCGTAGGCGTAAACAACGCACTTCGTCGCTTTGTGTATTTGTAGTAGTCTCGACCGTCATGTCTGAGTTGTGCTGCCTCCTGGGGTGCGTTAGTGGTACTGCAAGCTGCTCTTTAGAACCGTCTTTTTTGTTTGTTTTTTTATCCTTCATCATTTCCTTACCCGCACCATCCTTCTGCCTTGTCATCCTCTGGTAGACTCAGTACTTATGGGATTCATGTTTGGAAGCTCCCATTCCTCAGGAAAGCCCTGCTTTTTCTCTCCATGTCACATGTTTTTCTTTCTTGGCCAGTGTAAAAAAAACAAACAGACATCATCAATAGTTACTGGCTCACAGTGTAACTATTGTGGGTTTATCCCATACTGGATACCTTTTATCATAGTGCTGTAAGGTTCATCACTAACCCAAAACCACTGATCTATCATTGTGCCTTGTATTCCTAATTAAATCAGTGGTACATATTTATATATAAAGCCATCTTAGGTGAATTATCTTTGCAAACTGATTGCCCAAACCCCTCTGTCAAACTTTTGAGATCACAACAAACATATCAGCTCAGGATTCCTTATGCAAAAACTGAACTGGGGAAGGCCTTCTAATTTTCTGCTCTGGATGCTTGGACCAGCTTGCATTTGTGTCAGTGAGCATCACCCTGTATTACAAAAATTATTTAAATTTCAGTTTTTTTTAGAAAGCTGCCGATAGAGTGCTAACAAAAGCAGAGAAAGGTGAACACATCAGTTCTCAGGTCTCTGTACTGGTTTAATGGCTTAGGACCAACATACAGCTCTGACTGTTTTTTACCATCTGAACTCTGAGGCTCACAGGTCATCAGATAGAGGGCTGCTAACTGTGTTTACATACTGTGCACCCCAGAGCTGAACAAAGATTTCAACTTAACTTCCTTAAAAAACACAGGTTATAAACATTTAGGTTGTACATTGAACCTAAATCATCATGAACCATTTTGTCCTATATGTTGTATTTAGGTCTATTCTTATAACTTTTATTTTTTTTTTAAATCTGTTTTTTTTTTCAGTTTGTATTTTAATGTTTTAAGCTGTTGTTCATTCTTTAAAAAATATTTTTATTTATTATATAAAGGACTGACATTTCTTTGTGTATGAAATGTGTTATATGCCACAGGATTACAATGCAGGAACACGCTGTAAATTGTAATTGACAAAGTAAAAAAAAAACACAGTGGTGGAGGAAGTACTCACATCCTTTAGGCTACTTACTAATGGTAAATATAGTAAATAAAATACTATATAAGAGCCTATATTGATCACCTGCATTCAAAATCCGACTTAACCAAAAATATGGATGAAGATATAAGGGACACCTACAGCTTCTGGGGCCCCGGAGGTCGGGAGTTAGTCTTGGATATGTATCATTCAAAACAGTGCTATTTTTCTAAAATGATTTGTAACGTTGAAAACAGTGAATGGAGCCCCCCGCCTTCCATTGTTCATTGAGTGCATTACACCGGTATTAATTCCTTTCAGCCCTCCGCCAGCCCCCTCTCCACCTGCTACTCATCAACCGTGACGTCAGAGCGGCGCGGCGCTGGGGAGCTGTCCTCGCGCGGGGGGCGCTGCTGTTGAAACAAGATGGCTGTACGCGCAGGAGGAGCAGCGGAGGTGAGCTGAGGCAATGCAGAGGAGGAAGAAGTGGGGGCGAGGAATTCACTCCTGCTTGTCTTGTATTGCCAGAACAGCAACAGCTCCGCAGAGAAACAGACGAGCGCTTCAGAGATTATGCTGATTTGTTTCCGTTACTGTTTACCGTAACGTGTGAGTTCTTTTTTTTTTGTAACCAGGAGACAAACAGACTGACCAAACAAATCACGGAGCACTCAGTAGAGGACAGGCGGGGACGCTCACGCCGCTAGTAGAGATGTCCCTGCTGTGTGTGGGAGGTAAGAGGAAATTACGGGGGAAAGCAAAACCCTCTATGTTTGATGTTGTTGAAGTATCACTTGCTCACGGTTTAACTGCACCAGCTGTCTGAGAGCGACACAGCCTGCGGGCTGTCAGCTCCGTAGAAAAGTCTGTGTAGCCCGAGCAGCGGAGGGTTTGTGCTGAATAGTCATTAAATCACAGCGGCTTTTAACGGAAACACAGCACATCATCACCAGGGGATGACACTGGGCAACTTCTAACCGTACTGCTGCTGAATACCGTGTGTAATTTACAGTTTTTCTTTTATCTCAAATGAAGATGCCCTGTATGCTGTTAATTATTTATCTGACAGTAAAAAAAAAAAAAAAAAAAATTTTGCCTGCTGGAACTAGTTAACAGAGGCTGTTTCTTTAGCCTCCGGGAGGGAAGGAAAGCCCCCTGGAGGAGTAGGTACTGGTGCGGTTCCTCTGTGTGTGTGTGTGTGTGTGTGTGTGTGTCATTCACGCTGTTCATTCATGCGTGGGCAGTCAGAGGAGGAGGACGAGGAAAAGCCCCTGCCGCTGCCGCACCGCTCGCCGCCCCCGCTCTGCCGCGTTGCTGTAGTCGTGAGGGAATACTCGCGGCCGGGTGGGGGTGCGCGTCATTTCTGAACGTTTCCCGTGAAGCGATGCGTCACCTCCTCCAACCAGGCTGCCTGGAAGCACCTGATGCTGACACTGTTGCCTCTCAGTGCCATGAATAAGCATCTGCTGTGACAGCTTTACATTATAACATCACGTCACCGTACGACCCAGGCTAACAGAGAGAGAGGAGCCCTCTAAAATGAATTTCGTGTTGCTCCGACTAAGGCTTTTGTTGGACAGACGTATGTGGAGTCAGCAAAATCAGCTTTTGTAAAATTATGTTGTGTTCACTCAAACTGGAGGAATGACAATTAGTACCAACATCCGTCATAATTAGAAACGTTTTGACTTGTTTTTAAGCAGAGGAGGGCCTGTAAAAGTACGTCATGTACGCCATCAGTAGGAATATGATTAGAGCTACAGCCAGCAATGATAATCATTATTGATTATTTTCTGAATTAGTCTATTGTTTTTCTCTAAAATTGTTTGAAAATAGTGACATTTGCCACATATCTATGAAAATTAATCAACTGTTTCAATGAGTGACTAATTGCTTAATTAATTTTTCAAGCATAAAGCCAAATGTTGGCTGGTTGTAGATTTAAATTTGGAGCATTTACTGCCTTAGTTGTGAATATTTTTGTGTTCTGCACAGGCAGTAAGAGAAAACAAGACATTTAAAGATGTTTTCTTGGTCTCCTTACTTTAGGACCAAACCACTAATTGATTAACTGAGAAAATAACTGGCAGATGAATTGATAATGAAACTGTTACAGGACTCAGAGAGTACAAACATCCGCCAAGGTAGATCAGTTTCCATTCTGTCTTACAGTGATATTCCCATGATAGTTTGACTCTTGTAATATGATACCTAGATCATGAATACCACTAGCCTTGGAATCACACTGATATCATTAGTTTGAAAGCTATTCAAGAAAATTTATATTTCACTGATGATGATTTTCTTCAGGATCTAGGTCAGTAACATTTGAAGATGCATCAAATTTGTTGATACCTAGAGTCAGCAGAGTTTTTCATGAGCCCTGTAAATGTGAGCATTCTGGGTCACCACATCTGGAGTCTTACTTGGATCCAGATGACATTTTGGTGTGTGGTAGATCTTATGTGGATGTTATCATGCAGTCCAAGTGTTGTAGGCACTGTACATGGAAGCAAAATTATTGAAATTGGTCCTATCTCACAATGGTAAAGAGTTTAAAAAAAAATTCTTGGATCTGAGTGATGATCCAGATCACCACCAAATTGTAATGGATTGTTTCATGGGTCATACCTGAACTCTTAAAGAATTTCATCTAAATCCATTCATTATGCTTTGAGTTATGCTGTGAACGACAACAATCACCGGTAAAAAAGTAACCACCTTGGAGAAGGTCAATGTTAGTTGCAGCCCAGCTAACTAAACTCTGAGGTTATGTCTTGTTTACCAGCAAGCAAAACCTAAATGTGTTGAATTTACAATCATATAACAAAAAACCTTACTCAGTTATTCATTTCAGCTCTGACTGGCTGGTAAATGAGTGTGTGGAGGGGTTTTGAGCTCTAGACATTTGTTGTAGAGGGAATAACAGCAGTGTGGGGACAAAAGAAAAGTTAAGGGGGTTTCAAAGTCACCTTTCATATGCCAGGCCCATTATGGATGCTACAGCTCCTCATCCTGTCCTGCCAGGCCTCTGCACTGAGTCAGTCCCAGGTGTCATTAAGATCCTGAGCGTTCATTCATAAACGCTGGCTGCTCTGTCGTAGACTACGAGACTTGGCAGAGAGCCTTATTTCTGTTCCTGTTACATCATTCATGCTTACCTGACTGGAGCTATTTCTGGCCTCCAGAGTACTTGGTGCCTCTGGAATAGGTCGCATTTCTTTGAAGCATATGCCGACAAAGCAGAATTTGGGCACAGATACAGATTTACTCTGAAACACTTGGCTTTTTTCAAGTCCAGTTTTCTCTGTTTGGACATTAATTCAGGGAGTGTAATGTCTCTGTCAGCAGTTGCAAGAACCGTTGCAGATCCTTCCATATATATGATCTTTCAGTCTCGGTGATTCATGTCAGCTCTCACTTTGTCATTGACTGGCTGAGCTCAGCTCACCCACTGCCTACTTTACATTCCCTGACAGTCCAAGCTGAAGGGTTTGCTTGATTCCCTGACAAGTCTCTGTTTTCTTGGCAATTCGCTTAGTTCACATAAGTCAGAGTCTGCTGTGTCAGAGGTATTTCCTGAATGAAGTCTCTGCTAAAAAACAAAAAAGTTACACAGAATTTACTGTTTGCTTTTACAGATTACACTATACATCCTAAAGACTAAAGACTAAAAACAAACACACTTTGATTTGTAATGTTATTTAAGTCATGTAGTCAAATGATGATCTGATCTTTTTTTTCTCTGATCTAGTTACAGCTCTTCATAGGCTTATTTATGAGTTAAAGGCACTTAAACAGTATGTTTGTGTTGGAGGTCTTCTTGTCTGCTTGTGTACATGCAATTGGGACAAAATATTGTTTGTGAGAGCTTGGGGACATTTCTCATTGGAATCCACCCCGTCAGAGAGATTTATGATTGTGTGCTATTTGTAAGCTTCAGCTTTCCACTGTTGAAAATCCAATTTCTTTTTTTATTGATTCTCCTCATGTATGATATATTTCCAGGCCTGTTAATGTTGGCGCTACAACACAGCGAGGAACCGTCTCTACTGTGGTTCGTGTAAGGAATGCTGAAAACATATCCCTGCTGAGCATGTGTGATATGGACGCATCATACGTGTCCATGTGTGTGATGGGGTGTGGGAGTTAACAAACATAACTGGGTCCTTATATGTGGATATGTTTAGTTATAAAATCTTGAATAATGAAATGGTTTTATATTTACATTTACACCCTATCTACAACCACTACAATTCCTCTAAAGATATGCTATTAATAACAAAAGGCAGTGGCTATTTGTTATATCTTTATTATACTGTAACTTCAGTTTTTATTTCTGTGTCTCACACTAATGAAGCACAGTGGAGCAGCTGCCCATGTTTTTTCCCAGCATGTATTTCTGTATTTTGCCACTGCACTCTGTGCCAACATGTCTTGACATGTTATGACCAATAAGATCATTTAGTCCAAATCTGCATAAGTTGCAGCTTCGGTTTCTCAAGTTAACACTCGTGTAGTATGTGAATATGTATGTGTGTGTGTGTGTGTGTGTGCACGCTGTCAGTTAGCACTGATTGGAAAATATGTGTTAAAAGTACTAATATTATCATTCTTCATAGTCTTTTCTCCTCATTTCCACAACATTTGTGCAATATACGTTTTATTAAAATTCACAGGCTGTGTTTTAGTAAATCTTGAGCATCCTTGCTGCCTGTTCTTTGTGTAAAAGCCAGGAACGGGGACGCAGCAACGTTGAGAAGTGAAAACAGATGGTGCTCCTGTGTGTGACTTTTCCCTCTCTGTGTTTCCACAGTGAAGAAAGCCAAGCTGGATGGACCCCAAGGTAAGATCCGGGATCTTGGAAATACAAAGAGGTTGCTCAGGGGGGGAGGGAGTCACTGTTATGTGACGTAAGTCTTTGAGCGGACTTGCTCCAGACATGAATAGAAATTAAGGGATGGGAATCAGATAATATAGTGTCTATGTTTATAACTGCAGGGCTGAATGGGATGGCATTATTGTTGTCTAATGCAGACATGTTTCATTTGAACTTATCCATGTCTTTATGCCTCTCTCCTTAACAGAGAAGTTCAACACTTATGTGACTCTAAAGGTACAAAATGTGAAGAGCACAACCATCGCTGTAAGGGGCAACTTGCCCAGCTGGGAGCAAGACTTCATGTTGTGAGTCCTTCATCCTCTTCTGACAAAACTCTCTTTTCTCTTTTTGCATCTCTTTCCTCTGTGTTCTTTTCATCCTCTCATCTCAGCTCTCCACTTCAGCTGCTTGAGTGCTTTTCAGTTTTGTTTTTATCTCTTACTTTCTATCAACTCCCCCACTCCTCCATCCCAAGTGCCCTTTATCCTTGTTTTGCATAGCTCTTCTTCTCCATGTCCACACCTCTGCCTCATCCTCTTTTTCATCAGCTCTCCCTCGGCACTTCTGCCCCTCTCTTCCTTATTCTCAACTTTGGCTCCCTTCTAGACCCTTCCTCTGTCGCTTGCTCTGAACACTGCTCCTTGATCTACATCTGTTCAGCCCCTCTTCCTTCTTCTCTCCTCATTTCAACCTTACTCCCGCTCCCCACATTCCCACCTTCCTCTCCTCCCATTTCTGCTCTCTAGGCATCATTAGCACCACATCTCACTTTTAAATTACTTTGTGTTCCAGTGAATGTTTGAATGGTAGTTTGTTCCAGTCACCAAAAACACTAGACAACATTGAGTGTTTGGCATGCAGAGCAATCCGGTGTGGTTTGACAGTGCAGCAGCACAAGGGCGATAAATGGTGAGGATCCTTTAGTATGTGAAATGCAGCAGGTAGCCTGTGAAGTCCTGTGCATTTGTTTGATGTTCAGAGGTGTTGAACATAGTACTGGGGTTTCATCAGTGCAGATGTGTTATGTAATGTTTGGGCTATAAAGAGAACACCCACTCTCCACCAAACTGCCTTTAAATGACTGTGCCCCCTCAGTCACTGCCATGAATCAAACAGGCACTTCTTTTAAAAGAAGTCACCACCGAGACGGGAAATCCACTCCCCCTTATTTCTTAATTAAAGTTCCCACTTTCTCCCTGGAGACATGCGATACAATCACCTCCTCCACCGCCTTCATCACGCCCCTCTCTTTCCTTCCCTTATTCATCCCTCTCTTTCTTTTTGTCCTCCTTCCTGCTTGTCTTAAATAAATGCTTTGTGTTAGCTTGTCACTGGCTTGCTCCCACTGAGACTGACTTATATTTGTCACAGTGAAACCCACAAGTAATTACTGTACAGCTTGTGTCTTTATGAGCGCCAGTGTGTGTTTTGCATTTGAAGTACTCAGATTCTTCACTTTAGTAAATGAATCAGTGCAACACTATACAAGTACTCTAGTATAAGTCAGAGATCGTCATTCAAAAGTACAGAAATATTTTCAACAAAATGTAAAAGTGCATTGTGCCAATAGGCCCCTGTGAATAATATGTTATTGTAAATTATCTTATTATCTTAGATTTTGTTCATATTAGGTTTAGATTAGTATCACTTTATAGCTGTAGCTGAGAGAGATGGAGATAGCATTAACTATTTTATATACAGTTGGGTTGTTTAGTCCAGTTGTTTGAAAACCACTGGTCCTCCAAAAGGGCACAAGATATATCAGGTTGTAAGATGAAATAAGAAAAAAAAAACTAATTGCTGCAAAAAAAAAACTATGCTTGAAAATATGTATCCCTTACTTTGAATTATTATTTAACTGCTTGCATCTTATAGACATCTGAAATATGACAAGGGCCCCCAGGTAGGCATTGCTTTTTCAACCAGGAGCCTCTTTAATGATAGGCTGTTTTTTAGAAGCTTATTTTATGTAAAATCTTAACTAATCTTAACTAAAGTAGGCTAACTGGAGCTGTCAGTTAAATGTATCAGCACAAAAAGTACAATATGCTCCTCTGTAATGTAGTGGAACACACTATAAAGTGGCACAAAATGGAAATACTCAAGTAAGGTACGGTACAGTACCTCAAAATGTAATTAAGTGTAGTAGCTGAGAAGCTGTATCTTACCCAGTGTCTTTAAAGGTTTTCTTTTTTAACTGAGTCAGTTACTTTCTGTCTTAATATTTAACTTTTCATGTTTCTTTCTCTCTGTAGTGAAATTAACCGCCTGGACCTGGGTCTGACAATAGAGGTGTGGAACAAAGGGTTAATCTGGGACACCATGGTTGGCACTGTATGGATTCCTCTCTGTAACATTCAACAGTCTAATGAGGTTTGCCACTAGCCACCGCCACCGCTTGAGAAAGACTATAGTAGAACAGTCTGTGCTCAGTTGTATGTAAGGGACTCGCAGGAGTGTTGCTGGCTGGACCTGTTTTCATCATGCTCAATTCTCTGTACGGCATGTTGTTTGTGTATCAGCTGCAAAGTGTCTCTTTGTACGCAGGAAGGCCCAGGGGAGTGGCTCACACTTGACTCTCAGGTCATTATGGCTGATAATGAGATCTGTGGCACCAAAGATCCCACTTTCCACCTGGTGCTGCTTGACACACGCTTTGAGCTTCCTCTTGGTGAGAAATCAATGTTCACTTCTAAATCAGAAATTGTCAATAGGTGGGGGATGATGAGAATTTGAAAGCATAGGAAATCATCATTCCTTGAAGGAAGGGGAAATTACTTGAATAAATTATGTTTATCTGTTCAAAGCAAACAGTGAAATATGAACACCAATAATCCCTCATTGATTAAATGACCTGCCCTACTTTTCAGTAATATGTGTTTAGTGCTCTGTGTGTGTGGGTGTGTGTGTGAAGAGTGTTTATGTCCTTTGCTTCTCAGTGATCAAGCTGTGCTCCTCTTATTATTGATTAGGTGTCATTTTCCTGCTGTTTCCCCTTCCTCTAGTCAATACTGTACATCTGACTCTTTAGTTTGAGGACATGACCTATTTATAGGGTTTGGCTTTAGTGCTGTAAGTGAAAAGGCCAATTTCCAGTGTCAGCGTGTTCTGTCAGGCCAGCATATCTTCAGTTCTATACATGTAGCTAAAACAGATAATCAGATCTGGGTCAAATAACATTTTTAAATGGGCTGTTTTATCTTACTTTATCATCATTTAGGTGGAGTTTGTAACATAGACAGTATCATGGAATCTATTTTAAGAGTCTACGTAGTTGGAGCTCTGCTCTGGTTGTTTATGTCACCTGAGTTTGTCTGACTTATTGTTTTCAGATATCCCAGAGGATGAGGCACGGTACTGGGCCAAAAAACTGGAGCAGCTCAACGCCATGAGGGACCAAGATGTAAGCTGTTTGATTAAATACCCCAGCATGTTCTCACATTTCAGGAACATGCCAGTGTAATTAAATGGGAAAAATAATTATGTTACACCTCAAAAATAAATAGATAGATAGATAAATAAAATAAATAAAGCCCAACTGTAAAAATTCTCCACTTCCTGGATATTGGCATAACATTTCCAATCTTCACTGGTAATTACCCACTAACCTCTTTCATCAGTGTGAATTTTTAATTTGTCCTCTCCCAGTACTCATACCGGGAGGAGCAGGAACGCCCTCTCCGTGCACCAGGAACCCAGTGCTGTAAGTGATCAGTTCCTGTTTGTACAAAGCAGTCCAACCATTCATTTGTGCCAAACAAGAGAATTATGTGTTAAGCTACTGAAATATAATTAGATTGCTTTAGCTCAGCATGTGCATTATGTGTGTAACCACACGGGTTGTTTCATGTTAGAGGGGAGAGGGGTCAGGATCACTGCGCTCTGAGGGATCGATAGCAGTATCAGATGTCTGGAGGAGAGCTCTTCCAAAATGCTGCTGTGTTTCAACTATTTGCCCAGTCTGCCAAGCCTGCTGAGCCAGCTGTCTGTGGCAGATGGAAAGACTCAGCCTCAGCAGTCCCTCTGCCCTCACTTACCATTCAGCCGCTTCAACTGGGAACTTTGAAGCATTAATAGTGCTGAGAAACGTACATGCACCTCCCTGAAAGTTTCTTTGCATCAGGTGCAAAGGCCAAAATGCAACAGTAATTAAGTAAAAAGATGATGTAAGTTACAAGATTTCATCAGGAATACCTGATGAAATCTTAATCTGGAAACTTCATTGGCGTGGCAGCTTGGCCTTAATAAATATAATGTTTGGAGCATCAAATCAGTGTGCGGGCTATAAACATTAATAGTGTGAAAGTACATTTGTGTTTGGACACCAGTGCAGATTGTAATCAGAACCCTCCTGTTTATTTCAGGTAACTGGAGTTTATGGGGAGACCAGCAAAGTAAGTGTACATACTGTACATACAGTAGAATTCATTAATATTTTAAGGGTCACACTTTCTTAATTGTTTTATTCTCACACTGTTAGTTTAAGGGTAAAACTCTTTCAGCTTCCAAGCCAGTGTTTACATGCATATTGGGTGAACAGTGTAGAACTTGGACTCCTGTCCTTGTTCTGCTGCACTGTTCATGAAATAAACTGAGAGGCCTACACCACTCACCTTCAAACACCTTTAATGGCCAGTTCACGCAAATTACCAATAAAACTACTATTTTTTTCCCAACTCACTCTAGTGTTATTTGGTGTTACAGATTGGTTTTATTTACTTACAGCATTAAAAAAAAGTTACAGTAACCTCTTTCAGCAAGGGTGTCCTTGTTACTATAGATAATGAACAGACCTCACCGACAACAGCTTTCATAGATATTGTTTCTTTAATAGAATGTATCCACTGAAAATCAGCAAGGTCTGTGGGTTATCCTGAGTAGCTGGGTGAACTCTTTAGCATCAGTCATTGTTTCGCTGATCATTCTACAGCAGACAGCCACAACGATGAAAAACACATCACTGTCTAAGCTACTTAAGGACTACACTCCATTCTGCAATCAGTAACCTTTCTTACATTAATACATACAAATGTATATATGCAAAAACCCTCCCCACTGTACCTCTCTCTGTTTTACGTGAAGCCCTGTCAGACTCATTCACACCGCTGCAGAGGTAAAAGGAGAGAACATGGGGGTAATGATAGGCAAGGAAGTGATGAAGTGAGTTAGAGAGGGACAGAGAGTGAGAGACATGTGGCGACATGCTTGAAGTGAGAAACAAGGTTTATTGCCTTTAATTAGTGTTTGCATGCACAGACAAATGAAGATGATGGTGTAAGTGGCATCAAGGAGGGAGGATGATGATGAATAATGATGAATGATTAATAGATGCTGGCTTCACTTTTGACTGATTCAGCACTGTTAGTCTCATCACTTCCCTCTGTTAATCTTTGATGTATGGACGCCACTGAAAAATAAAGCATCTCTTCATTGGGCAAATTGGATTTATGCTCAGTTATGATGATGAAAATGAGAAGGAAGCCACTGATGATGTTCCTGTGCTTCATATATGGATGGACTCTGAATGACCTATATAGATCTGATAGGGTTTCAGTAGTGAGATTGTGCCAGCTCGTGTATATTCTGTGTAATTACCATAGTACTAAAAGATTTGGTTCAGTGCTGACTGGGATGATCACTTTCATTATTTAAAAACTCTGAGGTGTTGCTTTCTCCTGTTACTGTACCTTATACTCAACACAACACACAGTAAAATGACTTTTTTTTTCCTCGCCTCGTTCCTGTACGCACCTCTGTGTAGATGAGGATCCAGACAGCGCCGTGGACGACAGGGACAGTGACTATCGCAGTGAAACCAGTAACAGCATACCCCCTCCTTACTACAGCACATCCCAGCCCAATGCTTCTGTCCACCAGTATCCCATCAGCCACCAGCACCACAGCTCCAGAAGCTTTTCTTACCCACGCTCGGGCAACAGTCATGACCTCGACTACCACCATCAGAGGACTGTCAGGTGCGTGCCTGCACCAGTAATTAGGGCTTAAAGTAATGATTATGATCATTAGTACTTAAAGCTACAGTATGTAACTTTTTTTCAGATATTTTGTTGTAGAAGTCTGCTCTAAAACCTAATGTGGAGAGGTGCTGTCAAAGCCTCCTGTGACCCAGACTCAGTGAACAGCTCTGGCAGCAGTGCAGAGACATTAGCTTCTAAAAGATTTTGAGTGGGATTGACGTCTATAACCAATCAGAGATTTTCACTTATTTCTGCTTGATCAACTTTTGTGGCCTTCACATCTATTGAATTTTCATGGCAACAAATATCCGAAGAGCTGAGCAGAGCATGGCGGAGCGTAGTAGATGGTAGTAGAGCACAGTGGAGCAGGGAGAGGGAGTGCTAGGTGGAGCACAGTGGGTTGATCTGGAGGTTCATGCTACTTCTACTTTGTTACATATTGTAGTTCTAATATATTTTTTATTTTATTTATTAATCATTAAATATTCTGGCTTAAACATGTCCCCATTACCAAGGTGACTTCAGATACTTCAGGTAGCTCATTTAATTTTGTTCAGCCAATAGTTCAGTTTTCATTCAGTTCACAATGACTTAAAACAGAACTAAAGCTAATTTTGACATTTCAATTAGAACCAGTGAATGTTTGGCAGTTTTGCTTGATAACTGGTCTAAAGTGAGACCATGTAAGTTATAAAAGAAGAAATAACAGTCCATGAGTTTGTGTGTACATCTGCAGGGTTGTGCAGGCCCTATGCTATTAATCACATTCTTCCTTCAGAGTTGTTTACAATACTGTTACATTTCTCAGAATTTACTGACATATTTCTCCCAGACTGGAAATGAAACTATGCATCCCTCCACCTCTTGCTTTATGAATTATTCAACTGGCAATCTAATAGTCAATACTGCACATAAGATTAGCTACTTGTGTGAGTGTATTGGACAGGGAACCTTCCCTGCACCCTGACCATCTCCCTCATCTTCCTCATCTCCTCCTCTCAGCTTTTTGTACTCCATCCTTCCCTGGCCTTCTATTTTGTCTGTGTGCTCACCACGCATTTCCTGTCTTCGCTATCTCCCTCTCCCCTCACCCATCCTCCTTTCTGTCCCTGCCTCTGTTTTGTTTTTAAGAGCCCCATTCATCAAAAAGTATAAATACTTTTTCCCTGTTTGTTGCATTTATAAAAGCTTGTTCCTTTTCTGTCAGCATGCTAGAGGCCTCTCTGTTCTGCTCTATTTTCTCATTGCTTGTCGGCTACTCTTGTATCCTCAGTGCTTTTCATCGATTTAGCCATCAGCATTATTCCTGGCCTCCCCAAGACACATAGAAAAGGTTTTTAGTTGGGCTGTCCAATAGAATACAAAGTGTACAAGCTATAAAATACACCAGTGAAATGCTTTGTAAGCATTTTTGAGATTATGGTTAATAAGGGTATGATGAACCTCAAATTTTACATGTGTACATGTTCATTAATATTCATGCAGTATAACCCTCAAGAAAGTGACTCGATGTTAATAATTTAACTGTGTTCCTCATTACATTTTAATGACAAGTTGTGCTCTTGCTTTTCCTCCTCTCTCCAGTCCCACAGGGAGCTATGCGTCGTCTGCAGAGCTGAGTAGGTGCAGCAGTCAGCTGAGCGAGGAGGACTATGGCGGCGAGTATGGAGAGAGAGACCCTTATGATGAGAACGACTCCTACCACTCCTGTCACTCCTCTGTTAGCTACAGTAAAGGGTCTCCAGACTGGGACCCTGATGAGACGCAGGGTGCATACAGTGATGATGGTGCATACAGCAAAGATGGAGGAGAGGAGGTGGCTCTCTATGAGGAGGATGACAGAGAGCTGTATGAGGGTGAAGAAGAGGGGCTTTATGAGGATGAGGAGATGATGTATGAGGATGAGGATCTGTACAACTTTGATGGGACCCTCAGTGAGGACATGGAGCCTCCATTCACCCCCACCCCTACATCAACTGCCCTTCCAACTCTCGATGTACCCAGCTCCAGACCTCCATTAGAAAAACAGACCTCCCTAAACCAACAGCAGTCCTCTCCTCAACCCCCTAACCAAACATCCAACCAGGCTCATCTTCCCGGCACTGCCCCAGCAGCGCAGCCCCCCTCTGTTCAAGCAACAGCCCAACCATCTAAACAGCCCCAGCCCCAAACACACACTCAGC